CCACACCCATTCCTGCTCAGCCAGCTGCAGCGTCACCCTGCTCCCTCCTCCAGGTCCTGAGTTTCTCCTCCTTACAAGGCCCCAGGAGATTCACCCAGCTCTGTAAGCAGCAGCCACAGTCATCTCTCTGGAAAGATGCCTATGTTGTCCACTGCTCCCAGGCATGCCCATGCAGATATGGGCACAGAAGGCAAGGAACCAGGCAGGCCCAGGGCTAAGGACCCCCTGGGTGTTTGGTGGCTCAGAAATGCCATGGACAGGCTGTCTACTCAGTCCTGCCAGGGGTTAGAGTAACCAACACCTACTGGGTGGAAGCTCCACAGACTCTGATGACCGCCACAGACCTGGTGCCACTCGCTCACAGCCCCACTTGAGAGCCTGCTTTCTTGCATGATACTCCCACTGGCTGGAGTACCCGATGACCAGTCCACAGACAAAGACTGCCAGAGTCACTGAGCCAAACGTGATCTCCTCCCAAGGGCTGAATCCCATCTACAACAGAAATTCCAGCTGCCTAGCAAATCCCAACTATACTAGCCCAAGTGCTTTCAAAAGCTTTCTATTTACACACCTATCACAAAGATAAAGAGGCTATCAACTTGAGAGTGGGGGGCATGGGAGGGGCTGGAGGGAGGGTAGCTGGGAAAGTGATAATTATTTCAATTACATTTTCTGGTTTGGTTTTGTTTTTCGAGACAGGGTTTATCTGTGTAACAGCCCTGGCTGTCCTAGAACTCGATTTGTGGACCAGGCTGGCCTGGAACTCACAGAGATCCCGCCTGCCTCCGCTGGGATCAAAGCTGTGCACCATCATGCCCGGCAAAAAAAAAGTTTTTAAAAAAGAACTAAGTAAATGTAAAAAACAAGTCTCTCATTTAATATCAATACTCTGAGATATAAGTATTGCCATTTTCCTTGTCTAATTAAGGAAATGTAGCCTCACAGAGATTAAGTGATTTGTCTAAAGCCAAATGACAGTGTGATTTTTATTTTCCACTCACATGATCATCAGGAGTACAAGGGGAAGACCAAGGGCTAGGAGTCAGACAACCCGGATCCAACTCCAGGGCAGCCTTTGCCAGCAATACAGTGCTGGACAAGCTACATCCTTTGCTGTATCTTATTTTACCAGTGTGTCCCATGGAGGGACTAAACTAAACTAAACTTTCATTAAAAAACAAAACAAAACAAAAACACCAGACAAACCTGGTACAACGGGGTATGGGAAGCTTACAGAACGACAGTCAGCAGTGAGGCTGCTTCCGGGCTGAAGGCAAGCCTGGCACCCATCTGAAGACTCCATTTAAACCTTGCAGCAGCAATCTGATGAGTAGGGATTGCTGTTATCCTTAGTTCACAGGTGAAGAGTTCAAGACTACCTGTTATCTTCAGTCTATATCGATGCTCTCCTCAGGCCCATGTGAAAGCAACATGTGACAAGAGTTCATTTCTATTTTCTTTTCTTTTCCTTTTTTTTTTTTTTTTCCGATACAGGATTTCTTTGTGTAGTTTTGGTGCCTTTCCTGGAGCTCGCTCTACATGTAGACCAGGCTGGCCTCGAATCATTTCTATTTTCTTTCGCACTATACGGCCTTACTGTGCTGTCTCCACCTCAGCTTATATTCTGTTTAGCACAGGAAGTGTGCACAGGGTTAACATCGTCTGTAATGATCACCAGTGACAATGACAGAGCCACCATTACTGCATGCTGCTTTTTTTTTTTCTGAGACAGGGTTTCTCTGTGTAGCTTTGTGCCTTTCCTGGATCTCACTCTGTAGACCAGGCTGGCCTTGAACTCACAGAGATCCGCCTGGAGTGCTGTGATTAAAGGCATACGCCACCATTGCCTGGCTTAAGAATGTATTTATTTTTATTTTATGTGTATGAGTGTTTGCCTGCACGTATGTCTGTGCACCACATGCGTGCCTGTTTTCCATGGAGGCCAGAAGGTATCAGATCCCCTGGAAGTGGAGTGAGAGATGGTTGTGAGCTGCCATGTGGGTGCTGGGAATTGATCCTGGGTCCTCTGGAAGAATAACCAGTGCTCTTAATGGATGAGGCATCTCTCTAGCCCATCTCAGAATTTTTGTATGTGGTATTTCTCTTAAAAAAATGTGTTTGTTCATTTTTATAAGTTGACCACTTACTCTTCTGGCAGTCTCATTTGGACAACTTTATACAGTAGAGGACGGTTAGAAGACTTCTGTCTAGAGAAGCTGAGTTCCAGGGATTGCTAAACTGAGATGTGGAGGACCAGCACTAATCAATCGCACAGGAGTAAGTAAACTGCCAGTGACAGTCACTTATGCTTGAAATGTTATTATAGCACTCCATTTTCAGGATGCCTGTATAAGGAAGACCTTTTTCTTTCCTCTTAAGTGATCCATAACCCATAGCAATTTCAAAGGCATTGTATTTTTTGTAAGCCGAAAGAAACTCTGAGTCTTCTTGTTTTACAGGGCAATGTGGTTATTTGTGAAGCTTCCATAAGAATCTCTTCTTTCTTTTTTTTTTTTTTTTTTTTTTGGTTTTTCGAGACAGGGTTTCTCTGTGTAGCTTTGCGCCTTTCCTGGAACTCACTTGGTAGCCCAGGCTGGCCTCGAACTCACAGAGATCCGCCTGGCTCTGCCTCCCGAGTGCTGGGATTAAAGGCGTGCGCCACCACCGCCTGGCCTCTTCTTTCTTTTTAACAAGAACAGATTTAGAAGAGCTGGTTGTGTACCCAAGGCCTTAGTTGGATATTGTACTTGACAAGGATAGCTATTTAGTAATAACTATATCAGCCCCTTAGAAGGAACTAGGGCTCACTGTATGGCATCAATACTAAAGAGCACTCCCAAGGAAAGTGGTTTTCTGAGTTCCTTGTCTTACAGGTAAAAGAAAGTCACTCAGTTTTTTGGGTCTGAAAGTCTTAGGATATTTAGGGGACCTAATGAAAGAGGGATCTGCCCAAATCTACAGATACAGCAGGTAAAATCTGGTAAAGACAGTTTCTCAACATCTTATCTCAAGGCAATAAATAGTAAAATGACTATAAAAAAGCAACAAAGCAAGACTACCTATGAAATACTGGAGCAGTGGCTCAGCCAGCAAAGCGCTCACTGCAAAGCTGAGCACCATCCTCAGCACCCACATGAAGGGCCTGGTACAGTGGTGGTGGCCGCAGGGCCGGGAAGGCATCTGCGCTCCCAGGGCCGGGAAGGCACCTACGCAAGGCTAGAGCTACTGAAAGCTGCTCCGTGGAGCTGAGTGGTAAGTTCTGGGTCTCAGCAAGAAACCCTGTCTCAAAAATAAGGTGGGATGGCTCCTGAAGGACACCTGAGGTTGACCTCTGGCCTCCACAGGGACACACATGCACCACCCACCAAAGGAAAAAAACTATACATACCTACACACACACACACACACACACACACACACACACACACACACCTTAAACACAAATTTTGCATGACCTACTTGGTTAATTAATGCCTTTGCTGTACATAGGCAGTGAGATTAAATCTAAGGAGACCCACTTTATTGTGTGATCAAAAGTTTTTCTTAGATATTAAAAAAGTCGAAATGGAGTCTATAGAGAAAACAACGATGTATTGAAGAGAGGACACTCTCCAGGTTATCTGAATCTAGTTTGTCATATATCCTGACTTTAGTTTTTCTTGATATTGAGCTATTTTATTCTCTGAAGTGGTAGCTAACAGGTAAGTCTTGTAAAATATGTCCATCAGTGAGATAGCTTCAAGAGTCTTAATGTATAAATGAGTTTATTTGTATTATGCTTTTAAAAATTGTGGTAAATATACATAGCATAAAAAGTCATTTCAATCACCTTTAAATATAAAGTCAGGAGCAGCAAGTATATTCCCATTGTGTAGCCATGGCTGGTAGCCATGGACAGTAAACAGTAACTCCTCACTCCCCTCTCTGAATTCTCTTTCCCCCCAATTATCACATCTTCTAGCTCCTTCATTATGAGGGAGATATACTTTCTAACACATGCTCATGTTAATATCCTTACAGAGTCATTTTATATCTTTCTGAAAACACAAAACTGTTTAATAGTTCCAAAATTTAAAAGGACCAGATAAACCATCTAAAGGATATTGTATGTGATGACTAGCCTGATTGAGAGGGTTGGAAACCAAACACTTTAAAAACAGGCCAAATGGATCACACTCTAAGTTAATCTGCCCAATCTAAAGGTGACCCTTAGTTTAATTTGGTTTGGCAATGCTATGTCATCTGTTTTTCAAAAGAAGCCAGCAACTGACTATTTTGTTAAGTTTTATAGTTTATAAATGATGGCAACTAACAAAGTATTTTTAACTCCCAGGTCTCCCCCAATCCCATCCCCCACCCCACCCGCACCCCATCCATCAGAGCAAATCAAACACTTTGCTCTGATGGAGAGTGGCTGAAACCTTTCCTCCCAGCAGATGGGTGACTTTGTGGTCACGAGGACAGCTGCTGTGAAAGCCAGTTCACGATTTTAAGGGTGACCACCCAGTCTTGGGAGAGCTCTGCTCCCAGAGACCTACCCTGGCTAGGTATCCCTGAGACTGGACCGGTGCCCCCAGGCAGGCTCCCAGAACCAATGATTTCTGGCTTCTGTTACCTAATCCGATCAATAAAATAAACTAAAACGGGGCCTAAGCTCCCTGGCCACCTTTATATTGTACCACTCCCTGGCCTCGGTTTCCCACGGGCAAGTTCAGATCCCCTAAGTGCTCCAGTAAGAGTTGGAGGTGCCTGTGTTTGCAGACACGGGTGATAAACTGGAAAGGATGAAGACTCACCAGGGCCATACATTAGTCTGGGCTAATGTGGAATTAATAGATCTGTGCTATTAACCTTCCACGCCTATGCCAGCCACTGAAGGAGCCGGTGCCAGAAAGAGCTAGAATCCCTTCCCCCACCCCAGGGACAAGCAGAGACATCAGCCATCCAGTGCGAGTGAGTCTCTGAGCGTCCCGGCAGCCTCCCTCCCCAGCCCTGCTTACCAGCTGTCCCTAGAGAAGGCACGGAGGAACCAGACACCCGGAGCCAGGGAAGACCGCATCTTGCGTGGCCGGTACCTAGAGCTGGGACAACGGAGGGTACGGAGCCGGCACGAGTCCCCGACACTGGGGACTGTGGTTTAAATGCCCCGCCGGCTGGCCCGCCCCAGCCAGGCCCATGGCCAGAGCCCCCGCCCCTTGCACCTGACCTCCCTGCCCCCTGGGTCACAGTGAGCGCAAACCCCGGCCATCTCTCTGCATTCGCTAGCAGTTGTTTGCTGTGTACTACCACTTGTTTTCTCAAACTTTCTCTCCGCGTCAGAGACCGATAGTCTGAGTTTCCTGGGGCTCCTTTTTCTGGTCTGTGCTTTTCCGTTTTACTACTCACGGAGGATGGGGAACTGAAAACAGCAGCAATCTTACAAGTCATCAACTCTGTGTGACAGCCTGTCTCTGCAGTGCTACCTGTCTTGAGTGGTGCTGTGCCCTGACACTATGCGAATCAGGCGCTCTGTGCGAGCTAGCGCAGTGGGACCTGTGATCTGAGTATGGCGCTCTTCTGGAGCCCTGGAAGTGTCTCAGGGAGGAAAGTATTTAGCCCCAAACCCATCTCTCAGGTTCTGGTCCTGCCTGCTCAGATTCCAAACTGCTTACTAAGCCAGAGGGAGCCTTCCCGAATCTCCACTAGACACCCAGTTCTGCCGGCAGTAACGACGTAGCCAGCACGCCACTCTCCCCTTTAGAGGCAAGCAGCCAGGTGGCAGTGAAGAGCCACAAGGAAGGGTCTTCGGTGCTCATAAACATGACTGCCTCTAGCCTGAAGACACCAGGGTGTATTTCCACCTATAAAAAGGAGCTACGGTGAGATTCTTGTATAGGAAACCAAGGGCGAAATACCGAGAAGGGAAGGAGGGTGGAAAGGGAAGTATTCGCCTGAAAAGTAAACTTGTTAATAGAACATAAAGTAGGAATGCGTCTGTGCAAATGGGTTTCAGCCCTAACCCCACCCACCCCTAACTCCTAGGAGTGCCCAGTCCTCAGAGCAAGGTCAGGGAGGTGCAGCAACAGCTCCACCAAACAGGGGAGGACTCGGGATAATGGGCGTGGCTAGTCTGCCCTGGTATGGAGCAAGAAGAGGGTAAGCAGAGCTGTAAAACCCTCAGACACTACCAGCAGTTGGGAGTATGGGTCTAGTGCCAGAAATGAAGGCAACAAGTCAAGGTCAGGGGTAAAGGGCTAGAGGAAGAAGAGAGGCAATAGACAGGAGGCACAAATCCCAGGTCCTGTAAAATGCTGGAACACCTAGAGTATCTATCATATGGAGTGACTCAGTCAAATCCTTAAGTACACACCAAACAGGGTCTAGGGAGATGGCTCATAAGTGCACCAGCTCTGCAAACCTGAGGACCTGAGTTTGAATCTCCATCACCCACATAAAACGCCAGGCATGGCTTCCGGTGCCTATAACCTCAGCACTAGGGTATGAAGACAGGCAGATCCTGAGAGCCTCACTGGCCAGCCAGTCAGCCTACCCAAAACCAAGTATTTGTAATGGAGAACGATAGAGGAAGACACTCATGGTCCTACGCTGGCCACCGTATGTGCATGCAGAGGCAAATGCACAACACATTTCAACACACACACACACACACACACTGCAATAAATAAATAATAAACACATAAGTCATCCCTTACCATTCAGTGAGGTGGGAATTATCAAAATGGGTAGCATGATTTAAAGCTCTCATTTGCCTGGGGCACTCCAATCCCAGGTGGTTAGCACCCCTATTTAAACAGAAGATACACCAGAGGAGTGATATGACCTCCTCAGAATGATAGCTACTGGTTCCTAGGGGACTAGAGGAAGGATCACGTTGGAATACAAAAGAACCTAGGAAGCCGCTGGCTGGTCATCTGGGGTCACTCAGGAAGTGGATTTCAGTGAAGGAATGGAAGATACCATTTCCAGAGCTGCTGTGTGCTATCCAGAGTTCAGCAGGGCAGGACAGCTGTCTTTCCATCTCCAAGAGGAGTCAAGGGAGGAGGCTCACTGCCGTGTGTTCTGCGTGCTCTTTAGAGGTGTGCCGGTGTCTTTCCAGCCATATTTGCTGGGTGCTGGAACTCTTGGAAGCTGTGTGATTATGGCCCCACTGTGTGCCAACAAGTACCTGGGAGCAGAGCCAGTTGTCCAACAGTCTTTGCCTTGTCTAACCACTGCCTATGGATTCGGGCCATGTATCCCTGTCCAGGGGCCAGGATGGCAACTGGGACAGGCCTGCCATCACTGGAACCCATTCACACTTGCTCCTGTAGGTGACCTAGATGCTCTCTGCTGCCTGCTGCTCGAGAGTGACCGAGGGATATTACAACTCAGGTGCTTCTGTTCTCACTAACTGCACCTCTCCACTTCTGCCTCTCCTTCCTGTTGTTGCCTGGCACCCCCCCACACAGCACCTTCTCAAACCCTGTGCGATGTGACTGGTGTTTGAAGAAATGAGGAAGGGACAAGCCACTCAGTCAGCCACCGAAGGAAAAGATCCTAGTTCCTGATTGGCAGCCCTCTAATTACTACGGTTCAGCATCAGGCACTTGTGAGGAAGAAGCTCAATGTTAATGGCCTTTTACCCATCAAGCATCAGTTCCAACTGCTACTGAGTTTCATTGATCACCCATGACTTTCTGGACAGATAATGAACTGTTTAGACCCTTTAAGATACAGTAATGAGTGCTTTCTTGATTTTATCGAAGGGATAAAAGGCCTTAAATGCTCCTGAATGTTAGAGACCAAATGCCAGATTACTAGGCAAAAGAATGCAAGTGTCAGTATATACACAAACATTTAAAAATGCATTTCCCTCCTCCCATTTCTATCTTCTAAAACAGTCAATAGAACCAAGTCTCAGAGATGTGACTGAATGGATAGGATGTCAAGATATTGGGAGAAATGTAATAGTAGGATTTTTCATTGAGAGACAGATTGGTATACTAAAAAATTAAAACACTGCTTGGAGTCAGGGACAATTCTGGCTCAGATACAACTCAACTTCAGTTACCATGTCTACAAAGCATGGATAATAACTCCTGTACTACAAGGTGGCTGTAATAACTAGAAATTACTTATATAAAAAATGTAATAGTTCCTGACATGTTCAGTAGGTCTTGTAAGTGGAGAGATTATGATAAGACATTGAGTCAGATTTCTTACAAAGAGGTGATGTGTATGGTGGCACAGGCTTGTCTTGCAAAAACTCCTTAACAGTATGTTTGTATATACGTTCAGCTTAGCTCACTGATTACAGTAAGCACTGTGATAGCTCATGTTGAATAACTTGGGTGTTGACAAGGATGTATGTGGGGTTAAATAAAATATAGAAAAGTGAAAATGCTATTATCTTAAATGTCAGATACTGAACTCTCACCACAAAGTTACTGTTAAAATCCTCACAAAGACAAGATGATCATATTGAAGAGGATTACATTTCTCTGTAAAAGCTGCAGTTCTGAAACGCCTGTCAAAGAAAACCTCCACCTTGATAAAACTAGTTCCGAACAGGCTTCATCTTCCTGAGAACTGGACTCAGGGTTAGTAGCGGTCTCAAGATCTGGCTTTAGAAACCGTATCTGCTGGCTCTCCTACAGTCAGCCTCCTCAGGACACTAGTGGAGAAGCAGATAAGGAACAACACAACCTGAAAGGTATTACAGAAGGGAGAACAGAAATGCTAATTATTATATTTTTTTCAAAGCTGCTGTTCTTAAGGGAAAACTGAGAAGAAATAAATGGCAATGGTAAAAATGAGTTTGTCTCAGTAGCCTAGTCTTACAAGTTGCAGACAGTGTCTGGGTGAAGTAATGATTCATTCATTTACTGACTTAATAAACATTTGTTCAGTGTCAGTTCTGTGCTGGGCTAAGGGACAGACTGATGGATAAAACAGACATAGTGCCTTACATAAAAGAATTAACAGTTAAACAGTTCAGAGATGTATAGCAAAATCCCACTGCAAGGGTAAGGTGGAAAATCAATGCAAACAAGAAACAGGCTACAGAGCATGTTCCTACTGCTAGGGGAGCCCTGAGATGGGATCAAATGCCTCTGAATCTTAGAAGAAGGCTTCACTATAACGTATAGACATACCACGGGTATGTCTAGATTTGAGGAATGGCTAGCTGCATACCAAGTAGAAAAGATGAGAAGGTGGGACCCACAGAGTACATTTGCAAAACAACACGCCATAAAAAAGCATGCTATTGAAGAAATGGTAACAGGAAATTCTGTAGAGCTGGCAAGCACATGTGCATGGTGGAAACCTCAGAAGAGATGACTGTTAATTGTAGTGAGGCACTGAAGAGCAGCGAGTGGCCATGGTAACAGCTCAGACTTTATCCTTTGGACGGCAGGTTGTTATGATAACAGGGTTCCATGTTTGAAGCCCCAGCACTTGGGGGACAGAGGCAGGGGCATGAATTCTAGGTTACCCTGGGCTATATAGACAGTGCCAGAAGAGAGGGAGGGAAGCACTCAGAAAAGTTAACCCTGTTCAGTCAAAGGACTGAGCAAAGAACAGCCCTGCTAATAACCAGCCCACTCCAACCAAGTACCAGACAGAACACTGCAGCCCTCCACTTGTTAGCCAGGACATGGGGAACCCAGACTTCTGCTTACACCTGTCTATGACAGATCCTCTTGCCCTGAGGTGCCATCTGAGAACTTCAAATCCGAATCGACTTTTACCTCCTTCCAATGGTAATAATGAGCATTCCACCCCAGCCACCAAAGTACCATTGCATCCTGAGGGGAACAGTTAGAGGGTCCATTCTCCCTCCCATGTGACTGCCAACAGAAGCCTAGTCAGAATTCTCACCCATCCTAACAGTAATGAGGTACTACTGTCCTACAAGGGTGACAGTGAGGACCAAGTAGGAAACCTACACTTTTACCCCTTAGCACCTAGCAGAGTAGGTAAAAAAACAAAACACCCAGAACATACTGTCACTTTCCTAGAAAATGTAAGCTTTGAGTTGTCCAAATGGCTTAGCAGATAAGATGCTTGCTGCCAAGCGTGACTACTGGAGTCAGTCCCTGGAACCCACATGATGGAAAGAAAAACCTGACTTCGAAAAGTTTTCTTCTGACCTCCACATGTGCATCATGGCACATGAATGCATGCATGTAGATAGTCATTTTTTTTTAAGTTTAAAATACACTTACAATATACTTAAGTTTCATTCTTGGACATGTATACTGATTAAGCAAACATTTCTACCCACACAAAAAACAGTATGTAAATGTCCACAGCAGTTCATCTAAATAGCAAGAAATTACAAATGTCCCTCAATAAGTAAATGGTTACAAGCCAGGCAGTAGTGGTGCACACCTTTTATCCCAGCACTCGGGAAACAGAGGTAGGCGAATCTCTGAGTTCGAGACTAGCCTCGTCTAGGGCGGTCAGGGCTACACAGATAAATTGTCTTGAAAAAACAAAATAAATGGTTACATCAAAAAGCCACACAGTACATGATTTCATTTATATATCTGCAGTGAGAAAATAAATTATGAAGAGGAAAAAGAGTAAAGACGACCTTGTGTTAGGGATGGTGGTGGTGGTGGTGAAGGATGAGTTTACTTTTATAGGGTAACACAAGGGAACTTTGTTACAAGGGAGTCATTTCTTATCTAGATCATGTGGTGCTTATAT